GTCGAGGACAGGGACTTTGAAGAACGAGTAGTTTTGCTGAAACTTAAACAGGGGGAAAGGACATGATAAACGCTCTGACAACAAGATCTGCAACAAGATCTGGCAGACAGGAAAATGGCCAACTCCACGGACACAATCACTAGTGATTACACTCCCCAAGAAAGGTAACCTGCAACTATGTCAGAATTACCGTACCATCAGTCTAATAAGCCATCCCAGTAAGGTTATGTTGAAGATAGTGCTGAACAGATTGAAACCACAGGCAGAGAAGATAGATCATTGCCGAAGAGCAGGCAGGCTTTAGAGCAGGGCGCAGCACAACAGAACAGATCTTCAACCTCAGGATACTGTGTGAGAGGTACCTCCAACACCAGCAAAACCTATACCATGTATCTTCGTTGATTTAAAAAAAAGGCCTTCGACAGGGTCAGGCATGTAGCCTTATGGGCAACCATGAGGAAATATAACATCAACGCCAACCTGATCAACGTCATACAACAACTATACGACAAGGTCTCCAGCGCAGTCTACCTTAACGGCAGCATGGAGGACTGGTTCAGGACAACGGGTCGGGGTGAGGCAAGGCTGTTTGCTCTCTCCCACTCTCTTCAACATCTTCCTAGAACGAATCATAACTGACACACTGGAACTGGAAGACAACAATGGAACAATCAGTATTGGAGGCAAGACAATCAGAAACTTGCGTTTTGCCGATGACATCGATGGATTAGCAGGAGAAAAACAGGAGCTCGCCACACTAGAGGGGCGGCTGGACACGACCCCAGCGGCGTATGGCATGGGGATCAGTTCCGAGAAAACCAAGCTAATGACCAATAATACCAATGGCATCAACGCGGACATCAAAGTCAGGGGCGAGAAAGTTGAGACCGTCAACAGCCTCAAATACCTTGGATCAATCGTCTCAGATGAAGGCTAAAGACAAGAAATTCTCTCCAGAATCACGCAAACAACAACTGCGCTGTCAAAACTGAAGCCTATTTGGAAGGACAGAAACATCACGCCCCACTCGAAAATCAGCCTTATGCGCTCACTGGTCATCTCAATATTTTTATACGCCTGCGTGTCGTGGACACTGACAGCAGAATTGGAAAAAAAAAGGGTTCAGATAGCATCCAGAGATGAGATGTTACCGCAAATAACTCATTGACATCTCATACAAAGACCACATTTCAAATGCTGAGGTGAGGAACAGAATCACCAACGTACTGGGGCAGCATGAAGATCTACTGACAACAGTGAAGAGACGAAAATTAAAATGGTATGGGCATGTCACAAGATCCACAGGATTTGCCAAAACAATCATACAAGGAACCGTACAAGGAAAGAGAAAGAGAGGAAGGCAGTCGAGAAGGAGATGGGAGGACAACATTACAGAGTGAACTGGAAAGACGATGGGTGACAATCTGAGAAAAGCAGAGGACAAAGAGAAATGGCGAGAGCTGATTGTCAGATGCAGTGGGGCCCCCACGGTTGCCCCAACAACGGGATAGAAGAAAGAAACTGATTATGCCTTTAATTACTGTAATATTTATTCAGACCTGTAGAGACTAAGTAATGTCTTTGCGTCTATATTATTAGTTTATTAAAACGTATGGTAAATTAGTTCAAACACAACTTTTACGGCCGAGGAAGGCAGGGGAGTAGCCTTAAATACGCAATAGAATTCACAGACCCACTTCTTTGGAGGCCTAGTAACCCAGTGAACCAACTACAGACGGTACTAAATTTATTCATGACATGACAGCTTCGCCGTGGCAGTGGTAACCGCGCTTATAGGTTTTCGCGTCCCGCACCGGGCGATACCACTGTTGTAATGTAGTGACGTCACGAGTGCTGCCCCTCTCTTACTCTAACCTCCCTGGTTCTTACTCAGCAGAAGTATTATACATTGTATTCATGATAACCAAATATGCCCTCCCTTCCACCACCCCCTCTCTCCCCTTCTCTCCTTCCTCCCACTCTCTCTTTCCCCTCTCTCTCTTTCTCTCCTCCCTCCCCT